TTTTCATTTTTAATTATGTGAAGAGGGATTTCTAAGGGTAGCCACAACACTATTATGTGTCTTTCCTTTAATCTTCCCAAAAATACAAATAAGGTAATTGTTTAGGAATGAGAGACTCCTTCTAAAAATATATATTTTTTTAATTTAGGGATCTTTCCAATTTTAAAGGATTCGTCTTTTGGCTATTGACAACTGGGAATTTCCAATGATATATTTATTCCAATAGCAACTCAATCCAATAAGCCCTCTATGGAAAGCCCAAATGGTTATTTTCAGGTGTGGCATAGAAGAGGAGGCTCCAATGTTGCCCCCAAAATCTACTCCCAGGAATAGGCAAAGATAGCAAAGAGTCTTGTTGCCAGAGACAGTTAAGGATGGTGTTTGTACATACAGTGCCTCCAGTAACACAATAAATTTGTTAGGCTGCCGTCACAGGCCCATTAACTCAGACACAGGGTAGGCCTCTGTTGGGATTGGGGCTTTGAGGACTGACTAGGCAACAAGGATTGGGACAACAAAAGCCCTCATGGATGGGCCTGAGGAGCAAACCACCTGGTGACGATCGAACAGGCCCCAGAGACAAAACTCTATCTGAGGAATTTAGAAGGGAGCAAAGACCACCTGGAGACCATCAAACATCAACAGGCTCCTCGGAGGCAAAACTCTTAACTGGGAAAATTAGAAGTAACTAAACTTCCCTATTACCTAAGGCAGGCATCTGGTTCCAGATTTCTTTCCCCCAAAAAAATTTATAAGTAACTAGAATTTCTATACATCTCCAGAATGCCATGCCAAAACTCATTGTACAACCTCGTTGACATTAGCACTAAATTACTATAAATGTAATCATTTATCATGACCTACATGGCTAATATGGTCCCACTATTGTTAAGCTCCCACTTTAAGGCCTATAAATGCCCTAAGGAGAAATCCACTGTGGTGTACTCAGTCCTCTGTTTCGAGGTACCCTACTGCACTCTTCTCTGCAGCATTCTAATAAACTTTCTTTCTTTTTTTTTTTTTTTTTTTTGAGATGGAGTTTCACTCTTGTTACCCAGGCTGAGTGCAAAGGTATGATCGCAGTTTCTGTCACAACCTCCATCTCCAGGTTCAAGCGATTCTCCTGCCTCAGCCTCCCAAATAGCTGGGATTACAGGCTCCTACCACCATGTCCGGCTAATTTTTTGTATTTTTAGTAGAGACGGTGTTGTTGGCCATGTTGGCCAGGCTGGTCTTATTTATTATTATTTTTTCCTTGAGATGGAGTTTACCTGTTGCCCAGGCTGGAGTGCAGCCGGCACGATCTCAGCCCACTGCAACCTCTGGATTCCCAGGTTCAAGCGATTCTCTTGCCTCAGTCTCCAGTACTCAGGATTACAGGACACCACCATACTGGCTATTTTTGTATTTTTATGGAGGGGTTTCTCCAGGTTGGCCAGGCTGGTCTCGAACTCCTGACCTCAGGTGATCCACCCGCCTCGGCCTCCCAAAGTGCTGGGACTACAGGCGTGAGCCACCACACCCGGCAACCTTTTTTCTTTTTTGAGACAGAGTCTTGGTTTCAATCTCAGCTTACTGCAACTCCTCCACCTCTTGGGTTCAAACAATTCTCCTGCCTCAGCCTTCCAAGTAGCTAGGATTACAGGCAAGCACCACCACACCTGGCTAACTTTTATACTTTCAGTAGAGACAGGGTTTCTCCATGTTATTGGTGATGGTCTCGAACTCCTGACCTCAGGTGATCCACCCGCCTTGACCTCCCAAAGTGCTGAGAGTACAAGCATGGAGCCACTGTGCCCCTGCCAAGCTTTCCTTTTTCAAACCTATTGTCCGAACTCTCTTTTCACCAACCTACAAGTCGACCACCACTCCCAGTGCCGCTCTGACACTGCTTCAAGGGAACTTCTTAAGACAAACTGAGAGCCTGACACATTCAGAACAAAAACGGTGCTTAAAAATCTTTTTACATGTCTGGGTTCCCAACCGTTTTCAGACTGACCACAAAATGTGACTCAAGTAGACATTACCTCTGATTGGCAGAGGCCAAGAGAGTGCCTCTGAGTAGGAGGCGGATCAGACAGTTGACCAGTTTGAGGATTGGCTAAACAGGTTGGGGCAAAGCAGTCAGTCAGATACGCCCGCCACTGTGCCATGTCAGTTTACCACTGCCATGGCAACACCCAGGAGTTGCCACCCCTTTCCATGGCAATGACCCAACAATGACTACTCCTTCCCTAGAAACTTCTGAACCATCTCATCTGCATGCAATCAAAAGTGCGTGATAAGTGTGACTGCAAAACTGCCCTGAGCTGCTCCTCTCTGCCTACGGTAGCTCCCTGTTTGCAGGAGCAGTCACAGAGCTGTCACACCACCTGTTCAATGACGCTGTTTTCTCTCTACCCCTCTCTGGCTTGCCTTTGAATTCCTTTCCCAAAGCCAAACTCCTCACTGGGCTAACTCTCCACTTTGGGGTTTGCCTGCCCTGCATCCCTCCCACTTGGTCACAACTCGTTTTCAAGGACATAAAAAGAGAGGAGAATCTCTCATCCAGTTTCCATCTCAGGGACCCACAGCAAAGTTGTCTGAGTAGACGCATCTGATCAGAGTTGCAAAGCTAATTAGCTCCCAGGGCGGCCCTGCACTCCGGGGCTTACAGGGCTTTCGGCCTGTGTTCCTCCCTACTCTTTATGACAGAACTAGTTACAGAAAGACAAGAATGAAAGATGACTGTTTCTGGGAAAATGTAAATCAAACAGTCTGAATACAACACTAATCACATGAATATATCTCTCTCATTAAGACTCTGAAGAGGAAAGCAAGGTAAACAGTGATTTTTACCGTCGGCTTGAAAAGATTCCACAGAGAGGCCAGGAGCCTGGCTGCTAAGACTTTCTTACCCTTCTTTCTGCCAGCTTGTCGGGTCCTGGGTTCCCTCAACAAAGGATCCCAGGGAGCAGACTTTAATTCTTTGATCTGCACCAAACCGTAGGAGCTTCAGACAAAACCTCTGCACTCGTGAGTTCACAGAAAATCCACTGACAAAGCCAAGTTAGTAAGAAAGGCATACAGATTTATTCACGCACACAGGGAGAACCAGGGTGATGATCCCAACCTCCTTCACCGGGTTCGGAAGCTATTTACCATCCTGAGGTTACAAAAGAACAGGGTTTCAAAGCATGGCCATAAACAGTTTATGGGGGTATCCAGTGACAGGCAAGACCGGTTATGGGAGGAGAGGAGGCTGGCTAGGCTAAGGTGGGCCTTTGTGCTACAGATAACCACAGGTAGCAGCTCTGAGAGAATAGATAGTGAATGTTCCTTTAAAGGCTGAGACTCCTGTTACTCTTCCCAGATCAGGCAAGGGAGGGCCTCAGAGAAGGCCTGGCTGCATCAATGCAGATTCTCTCCACAAATGCAAATCTCCCCCACAAAAGACAGCTTTTCAGCTATTCTTCTATTTCCAGTCCTTCCCAGTAACTGTTTGAACCACGTCAAGGAAATATATTTGGAGGTGACATATTTTGTTTTCCTTCAAGATCAAAAAAGTTAAGTCCAAGGCTGTCCAACAAGGGAGTGAGGATCCAATCATGTGGTCCTCAGGTAAGTTTTTCCCCAGCAACATAACCCTGCACCAGGCAGACTGGACCCCAGACACGCAGTCCACACCACACCATGGCCTCCACCACCCAAACCACAGACACACCCTACCTTAAACACCAGACACACACACACACCTCAACTACCACAAACGCACATACGCCACACTTCTAACACCACTTACACCCCCCAACATCACACACCCCTCAAACACCACACACACACCCCACACACACATCTCAAACACCACACACACTCCTCAAACACCACACATACAACCTTAAACACCACACACACCCCACACACACCTCAAAAACCACATACACAACCTCAAACACCACACACATCTCAACCCCACACACACACACCCCACACACACACCTCAAAATCACACACACCCCTCAAACACCACACATACAACCTCAAACACCACACACATCTCAACCCCACACACACACAGCCCACACACCTCAAACACCACACAAACCTCAAACATCACACACACCTCGACCACATGCACACACATATCCCTCAAACACCACATACACCTCAAACACACACACCTTAAACACCACACACCTCAATCACACACACACACACCCTCACACACCAGACACACACACCTCTCAAACACTGCACACACCACCTCAATCACACACACACGCACACACGCCTGAAACACCAGACATACATAACTCAACACACACACTCCCCACACACACCTCAAACACCACACATACACCTCAAACACCACACACCACCTCAACCACACACACATGCACACACACCTGAAACACCACACACACAGACCTCAAATACCACACACAGCTCAAACACACACCCCCACACCACCTCAAACACTACACACACACACACCACACATACAGTCCCCCGCACCCACACCACAGCTCACACGCACACAGACACACGTACGCGGGAGAAAGGGTGTCAAAGCTTTTGCTAGTCGTGAAGAAAAAGCCCGCAGTCCATGGGGCTGCACGGTTTCCCCTGCGATTTGCTCATTCACCAGGCGCCCATAACGCTCCGTGCTCAGGTCTCTTAAAGGAGGGCCCGAGTCTCCCAGTACCCGGAGGTCTGGGGGCGCACGAGCCGCTCCTCCTCTGCAGAAGCTCCAGACTGAAAGGGCCCCGGACACTAAGCAGCGACGAGCCCCGCGCGCAGCCCGGGACGCCTCAACCGGATCCGACTGTGCAGCAAGAAGCTCCCAGGGCCCGGTTTACGACCGCAGTCAACAGCCTCAGGGTGCAAACTGCGGTCTCGGAGCGAGCACGCGCAGCAACGCCCCTCCCCCGGCCCCGCCCCTGGCCCCGCCCCTGCCTGGGCCCCTGCCCCCGCCCCTAGCCCACCCCTAGCCCCGCCCCTATCCCGCCCCTGGCCCCGCCTCGCGAGGGTCACAGGTCACGGGCGGTGCCGAGGCGGAAGAGCCCGCAGCCCCGGATCGAATCCTCCTGGGCTCCGCCCAGCGCCATCCCCCGGCCCCGACTCCGCCGGTCAGCGTCAAGTGACTTATGCCCCCGACCCTGAGCCCGGACCGCGAGGCGAAGAGGATCAGATCTCCGCTCGAGAATCTGAAGGTGCCCTGGTCCTGGAGGAGTTCCGTCCCAGCCCACGGTCTCCCGGCACTGTCGGGCCCCGGTCCTCTGGAGCTTCAGGAGGCGGCCGTCAGGGTCGGGGAACATTTGGGTCTGGGGTCTCAGGGGAGGGCGGCGCCTGGGTCTGTGGTCTCGGAAAGAGCCTGCTGGAGCCAAGTGGCCCTCCCTCTCTTGGGACAGACCCCTCGATCCCGTGTTCATGGGGGCACCGCGGTCCCTCCTCCTGGCCCTGGCTGCTGGCCTGGCCGTTGCCCGCCCGCCCAATATCGTGCTGATCTTTGCTGACGACCTCGGCTATGGGGACCTGGGCTGCTATGGGCACCCCAGCTCTACCACCCCCAACCTGGACCAGCTGGCAGCAGCGGGGCTGCGGCTCACAGACTTCTACGTGCCTGTGTCTCTGTGCACACCCTCTCGGTAAGGAGGCGGCAGCGCCTCTTCCCCTCCATTCCTTTCCTCCCAATGGATTGCAGGAGGGCGGGAAAAACGTGTCTCTTTCTCCAGGGAAGGCCACATGTCTGCCTGCCTCACGGACTCTGTGACTTGTCCTGCAGGGCTGCCCTCCTGACCGGCCGGCTCCCAGTTCGGATGGGCATGTACCCTGGCGTCCTGATGCCCAGCTCCCGGGGGGGCCTGCCCCTGGAGGAGGTGACCCTGGCCGAGGTCCTGGCTGCCCGAGGCTACCTCACAGGAATGGCCGGCAAGTGGCACCTTGGGGTGGGGTCTGAGGGGGCCTTCCTGCCCCCCCATCAGGGCTTCCATCGATTTCTAGGCATCCCATACTCCCATGACCAGGTAGGAGCCACCGGGGCCCTCAGCCACCCGCCCACCTCCCAAAGTCCCCCAGCCCTTGATGTTCCTGCGGCCCTGTCTGCCACCCCAGCCCTCACTGGAGCTGCCCGCCGCAGGGCCCCTGTCAGAACCTGACCTGCTTCCCACCGGCCACACCCTGCGACGGTGGCTGTGACCAGGGCCTGGTCCCCATCCCACTGTTGGCCAACCTGTCCGTGGAGGCGCAGCCTCCCTGGCTGCCCAGATTAGAGGCCCGCTATGTGGCTTTCGCCCGTGACCTCATGGCCGACGCCCAGCGCCAGGATCGCCCCTTCTTCCTGTACTACGCCTCTCACGTAAGTGATCTTGGCCCCACCCCTGGCTACCTGTAACCCCTACCCAGTGCTAACTCCAGTCTTTGCCCCCAGCACACCCACTACCCTCAGTTCAGTGGGCAGAGCTTTGCAGAGCGTTCAGGCCGCGGGCCATTTGGGGACTCCCTGATGGAGCTGGATGCAGCTGTGGGGACCCTGATGACAGCCATAAGGGACCTGGGGCTGCTTGAAGAGACGCTGGTCATCTTCACTGCAGACAATGGGTATGCCAGCAGGGCAGCAGGGTGCTCCCGCCCTGTCACAGACCAGGGCCCTGGGGGCCTTGCAGTTCAGCTGCTGGCCAAGATCATAGTGGGTGAGGGGGTGTCAGGAGATGCTGGCCACGTTGCAGGGACCCAAGGTGTAATCAGGAGACACAGGTGCACAGAGAACTGGTCATGGTAGGCCTGGAAGATGCTAGGCTCATGCTGGGCACCTCCAGGCAAGCTTTGTGACTTAGAGGTGTGGGGCCACTGGTCACCCTCGGTGGCTCAGAGGCCGTGGCTCCACGGCTTATGAGCTCCTCCTGTGTCCCAGACCTGAGACCATGCGTATGTCCCGAGGTGGCTGCTCTGGCCTCCTGCGGTGTGGAAAGGGAACCACCTACGAGGGCGGTGTCCGAGAGCCTGCCTTGGCCTTCTGGCCAGGTCACATCGCTCCTGGTCAGTCCACAGGCCCTCTCCTTGGGAACTCTGGCCCCACCACCCCAACCCTGGTGGCGAACTGAGTGACTGCACAGCCTCTTGCCCCCAGGAGTGACCCATGAGCTGGCCAGCTCCCTGGACCTGCTGCCCACCCTGGCAGCCCTGGCTGGGGCCCCACTGCCCAATGTCACCTTGGATGGCTTTGACCTCAGCCCCCTGCTGCTGGGCACAGGCAAGGTAGGGCCAGTGACCCCTGATCCCAGCTCCTTGGCCCCTGTCCTGGCCCCTCCCCTGGAGTGAGTGTGGGCAGTGCCTGAGAGTCTGTGCCTCAGGGCCTCCTGCATTTAGCGGCATCCAAGTGGCGCCACCTCTCAGGTTCCTGGGGTGGGCGAGAAGCAGTGCACGTCCAGGGCCTCACACCAGGGCTGGCAGCCCCGGGTATGTGCAGTGCTCGGGGCCTGTTCCGCTCCGTGACCCCTGACTCTGCCCCCAGAGCCCTCGGCAGTCTCTCTTCTTCTACCCGTCCTACCCAGACGAGGTCCGTGGGGTTTTTGCCGTACGGAGTGGAAAGTACAAGGCTCACTTCTTCACCCAGGGTAAACCCTCCCCGTGAATCCCTCCACCTGACCTGCCGACCCCTCCCCGGAGCCCCAGATCCCTGGCCCCTCCTTTCGCTCTTGCCGCGTGCACAGAATTGGCCCCCTCCCCAGGCTCTGCCCACAGCGACACCACTGCAGACCCTGCCTGCCACGCCTCCAGCTCTCTGACTGCTCATGAGCCCCCGCTGCTCTACGACCTTTCCGAGGACCCTGGTGAGAACTACAACCTGCTGGGGGGTGTGGCCGGGGCCACCCCAGAGGTGCTACAAGCCCTGAAACAGCTTCAGCTGCTCAAGGCCCAGTTAGATGCGGCTGTGACCTTCGGCCCCAGCCAGATGGCCCGGGGCGAGGACCCTGCCCTGCAGATCTGCTGCCGTCCTGGCTGTACCCCGCACCCAGCCTGCTGCCGTTGCCCAGATCCCCATGCCTAAGGGCCCCTCGGCCTGCCTGGGCATGTGAGGGCTCATCACTGTGAGCCTGTGGGGGAGGCACAGGTGTCTGGAGGGAGTTTGTACCTGATAACGTAATAACACCAGTTGAGACTTGCAGGTGTGACGGTTCGTCCAACCCTGTGGTAATGCTATGTGCCAGTGCCAGTCCCCTGTGATACAAATGAGGAAACTGAGGTGCAGAGAGATTCAAGACTTGTCCAAGATCACCCAGCCAGAAAGAGGTTGGGCTGGGATTTGAATCCTGGTGTCTTGGCTCTGGAAGCTGCCCTGGCACCTTGGTGATCTGCATGGGTCAGTGTACACAGGCACACATCAGCCGTGAGGACATGGGCACATCCGTTCACAGGAGCAGCGCCACGTGCCTTTAAGTGCCAGGAACGGGGTGGGAGGGTGTGAGGGCTCAGTGGCCAGAAGACTCAGAAGATGCAAAGTGCCTGAGAGAGACAGGATTTTTCCCAAGAAGAAGCATTCTTAGAGGCACAGGCATTGGACCTCCTTGGTTCTTATCAGAAACCTGTCTGAAGCCAGGTGATGAGTTGCACATTCCAGGTGGGGATAAGGGGCCTGGAGCCCCTGCTGGCTCCTAGGAAGGCACAGCAGCAGCCCCTGAGACAGCCCTCCTGGGGCCCCTCCACCCTCCCAGGCCTCTGTATTTTACCTGTGCCCACACTTCTGTCTCCTGCCTTCACCTTTTGACCCACTAGAAAGATTCTCCACCCAGCAGACAAAGTGATCTCTTAAAAACATCTGTCAGCTGGGCGCAGTGGCTCAAGCCTGCAATCGCAGCACTTTGGGAGGCCGAGGGGGGGGGGTGGGTCACCTGAGGTCGGGAGTTCAAGACCAGCCTGACCAACATGGAGAAACCCCATCTCTACTAAAAATATAAAATTAGCCAGGTGTGGTGGTACAGCCCTGGAATCTCAGCTACTCAAGAGGCTGAGGCAGGAGAATCACTTGAACCTGGGAGGCGGTGGTTGCGGTGAGCTGAGATCGCACCATTGCACTCCAGCCTGGAGAAAAACTCTGTCTCAAAAAAAAAAAAAATCTGTTAGGCTGGGCACAATCCCAGTGCTTTGGGAGGCTAAAGTGAGAGGATCGCCTGAGGCCAGGAATTCAGACCAGCTTGGGCAACATAGTGAGACCCCAGCTCTAAAGCGATATTTGTTTTTGTTTTTTGAGATGGAGTCTTGCTCTGTCGCCCAGGCTGGAGTGCAGTGGTGCGATCTCCACTCACTGCAAGCTCCGCCTCCCAGATTCCAGTGATTCTCCTGCCTCAGCCTCCCGAGTAGCTGGAGCTACAGGTGCGTGCCGCCATGCCCAGCTAATTTTTTTTTTTTTTATTTAGTAGAGACGAGATTTCACCATGTTGGCCAGGCTGGTCTAAAACTCCTGACCTCAGGTGATCCACCCGCCTCAGCCTCCCAAAGTGCTGAGATTACAGGCATGAGCCACCACGCCTGGCCAACAATATTTGTTTTAATTAGCCAGGCGTGGTGGCATTTGTCCTAGCAATTTGGGAGGCTGAGGTGGGAGGATCACTTGAGCCCAGTAGGTCGAGGCTGTAGTGAGCTATAATTGTACCACTGCACTCCAGCCTTGGGGACAGAGTGAGACCCTGTCTGTAAATAAACAAGTAAAACAGGCCAGGCTTGAGCATCTATTCCTGCTCAAAAATCCACAGGCTTCTCGGAAGAAAATCCAAACCTCTTATAGTGACCTAATTTGCCCTTGAGACCTCCACCCACGCCCCCTTCCCCTCAGTCTTAGCAGGGTGGCCTGGCTGTTCCCTCCAACAGCAATGCTCCTCCTCCATTGTTGGCCTCCTCTGCAGGGAGGGACTGTCTGAGCACCTGCCCGTGTCTGTGCAGCATGGCACACTGATGCCAGGCTCACATGCATGCCCAGGTGGCCAGTCCACACCAGGTGTGCTCCCTCAGTGTTGGCCAAGTGAGAGGAGCACGTCCTCCGGGTGTTCAGACACCTCCCCGTGGCAAACGCTGTTCATTGCCACCAAACAGCCACCTCCTTCCTTATGGGCTCCCACTTTCAGTGCTGGGCAAAGGTCCCTTGATCTGGGAGTTGCAGCCTCTTTCTCTTCAAGGAGGGCGGTGACCAGCCTGAGCCAGTCAATCCAGTGATTGGTTCAGGAGCAGCCTGTGACAGGAGTGTTGGTAGCAAACGACTGGGGCAGCCCTGGGGGTGAGGAGCTTGCGCAGCAGTCACAGGCCCCGACTGGACGCTGGGCAGCTGCTAACCTGGTGTCTCCAGCTGTCTACCTGGAGAGCTCCAAGCTCTAATGCTAGGAGAAAATAAACCCTGCCTGTTGAAGCCACTGCTAGTGAGGGTTCTGTTATTTGCAGCCAAAAACCTTGCTGGAGTGTGGCCTCTGAATGGTTTGTGTGGCGGGCACGTGTGCCTGTGTGAGCCTGTGGTGTCAGACAGTGTGCTGAGGACCCACCGTGCAACTGTTTCAACCCTTTTCATCTGGTTTGAGGGCTGCACTGACCACACCCCAAATCCTGCTGTGTTTGGAATCACCCCCATAAGGTGGTGGTTTCCTTGGGGTGCCCAGCAGCCCCTGAAGCTGGCACACGGAGGGCCCTCATGCACTTGTGGTCTGGAGGTGTTGGCCCCAGGTGGCGACGTAAAAAGTAAAGTAGAGGTTCCTCTTCAGACTTTCCTCCCCGTCTAGGAGTAAATAGTAACTTCTCTTAAAAGCAAAATTTATTCAAAGACCTGTACTAACATTCTTAAATAACTGCTGTAATAAAGAAATCAATGTACTTTGTGTTCTTAGCTCCCACAATTTAGCCTAATTACTTACTTACCCTGGCATGCTTATACTGGTCCAAGCAAGCATTAGGCCATAGCCTGTTCCTCTTCCTTATTTGAAGGTGTTTTTACCTTTATCAGCATTCTTCAAGTTACTTCCTCCTTCCTTTGTTCTCCTCTTTGCCTCTTTTAAAAAGCTCTAAGTTGCTAGCCAATCGGGACAAATACAGAACGTGAGGTCCAGTTCCAACCAATGGAAACCGGACACAGCAGTGCGGGGGGACACGTCAGGTTATAAATGACCCTGTCTCCTTTGTTCGGTGTACTCTCGTGGCAGAACTGCTGGCAAGTGTGCCCTTTCTGCAGAAAGTATAAGAATGGCCTTCTGAGAAAATTAATGTTCAAGTGCTGTTTCTTCACAGCACCGAGGAACGAGCATTTCAAACAGTGCTGTGGTTCCAGGGGAGGGCAGCGAGGAACTGAACTGGAGGCAGGATTCCAGTATCACATGGGAAGATCAAACCCTCTAGCAAGACTAGATAAATACTAACACCCAAGCACAGTCTTCAGGCACCTCCTCCAGCTCTGCTGCTCCACTTCCTGTCACTTGGGTAGTGTGCGTAACTGAGTGAATCCCACCCGTGTTTATGCATCAGCACCGTGCAGTGCTGGACACGGAGTTGTCAGAGGAGACCCACCCTGCACTCACCAGACTTACAGTCTAGCAAAGGAGATGAATTTAATCCTGGGATGTCAGATGCACCTGAGATTTCAGTGTGATAGAAGTCACTGCCTCTGGTAGGGTGGGGTGTGTGGCATTGCCTGACCAGGGACACCAGAGAACCTGTGGGTGCTACAAATGTTCCAAATCTTAAGGGGTCATAACATGATGCATGCATATGTATAAAGCAATCAACCCACACACATAAGTTGTGCATACTTTATGACGTCATTGCGTATTTTCTATTTCAGTAACAATCTAACCATGATAAATGCTACAAAGGAAGGGTACCTGGTCTTACAAGAACATAGCCAAGAGGTGGGGGTGGAAGGATAAATGAGCCAGTCGGGAATGCCTCCCATTGAGTTCTGAGGAGGGTGTTCAAATGCACTCTGCACCCAAGGTTGGAAAGAGAAGCAGATGTTCCCATTCCCCCATTCAGCTTTTGGTTTTGCTCTGATCTGTTTGTGTTCAGAAATGCTTGTTTTTCATCAGTTAGCTGTTTTAGCCGGATGCACCCTCCTCACACAGGCATGTGCACGTATGCGTATGTGCACGTGTATGCATACAGAAATATGCACACATGCACACTCACATTCATGTGCACGCAGGCACATGCATACACATGCATCCGGGGATGCATGCCCCCCAGAGATGTATGCACGTGAACACACAAGGACTCACGCATGTGCACACAAGCATGCATATACGTGCATATTTGCACTGACATACACACTGTTACTGTGGCCCCAAATGCCACAATTCCCTGCGCTTCCCTTTCTTCACAGCTGCAGAACAGCCCCTTCCTGTGAGCCTAAGAGAATCCATTTACCAGGCTGGCAGCCATCCATTCCCACAGAGCAGCTTCCTCAGGGAGCTCTGTGTCCTCTCGAAGGGGCTAAGTGTGTTTTGAAACGGGCAGAACAAACAAACAAGTTGATTCTGTGGTTTCCCCTCAGGTGCGTTAGGAAGGAAGAGGGGATATCCGGAGCCCAAGTGATCGCATGAGTGACAGGGTAAGAGGCGGCTCCTGCAGGGAAACTCTTCCCTCCCCTCCCTGGGGCCCCTCCTTGCCCGTGTGCTTGTCTGTCCCCCAAGTGGCCAGAAGGGGGAGCCCAGGGAACGTTTCAATGGAACAATGTTTAAATTCACCTCTGAATTTTTTTTTTTCTTTCTTTTTTGAGACGGAGTCTTGCTCTGTCTGTCGCCCAGGCTGGAGTGCAAGGCGCAATCTCAGCTCACTGCAACCTCCGCATCCCCGGTTCAAGCGATTCTCCTGCCTCAGCCTCCCAAGCAGCTGGGGTTACAGGCATGCGCCACCATGCCGGGCTAATTTTGTATTTTTTAGTAGAGACAGGGTTTCTCCATGTTGGTCAGGCTGGTCTCGAACTCCCAACTTTAGGTGATCTGCCCACCTTGGCCTCTCAAAGTGCTGGGATTACAGGTGTGAGCCACTGTGCCCAGCACCTCTGAATATTTTTAATTACAAAAATAATGCATACTCATTAGAGAAACTCAAGTAATGCCCACTCATCTCAGTCCCAGGTAGCCAATGCTATCAGTCTGGGGCTGGGGGGGGGGGGGGCAGGCACACGCCACATTGTTCTCCA